AATCTTAAAAAACCACAAACAACCTACGACACCCGAGGAAGTGTATTTATTGTTTCTTCTCTTTTGGGTTTTGGATTTGTTTGTTCGTGCAATTACCTACAATCAATTGGGAGAGAAAGAAGATAAACTGTTTGTATATTTCTAATGGTCATCAACATACCTTCTAAATACATAACAATTGAGCTCACGATTTCCATTGTTAACCAAAAACGAAAAAGAACATATGATCAGTGCCTTCTTGCCGGCACAACTAACTTGAAGAAAGTGGACTACGTTGCGCTACTTGAGGTACTCCATCATTGTAGAAAAGAAAGTGAACATGCAGGATTAGTACGTACAGACTCTTGTGAATTAAAACCCTATGGAATCGTTTATAATTAAAAGCAATAGGTTTGATTGATTTATATGTTTGTGGAAACGGATATTGACTAAACTGATCATCTTTTAGTTGCATGCTTTGTTCTGCACAGAATATAATCCAACCACCAATGTTCAAGATTGTTACTAGATTGTATAGTGACGACTATGGATTGAAAACACTATATGGACTGACCAATGCACACTAATAAATTAAGTAGTTGGATCAACAAAATCTAGCACGTTTGTTGATTGTAGTATATGCGTACGCGATGTTCAGCTGCTATTGATAACACGAGAAGATCCTCCTTCTCCACTTGGGTCAGAGCAAATTGTCCTACAAATAAAAAATAATAATACTATTGCTCGAATATGAGCTGTGAAAGTTGATGATCGATGACATAAACATGAGTAAATTCTTTCTTTTCTTTTTTTTTTTAACATTTTTCTATTTAAAAACAGGAGTAAAAATTTGATTTCCTATTTAGCTTGTATCTTTGTATATTTACAAAGTAAACGCTGTAGTTTAAAAAATGCCTGCAATAATACAAAACACGTTAATAGGGCATAAACATATGTGAAATATAACATGGAATTGAAAGAAAAAAAAATTACATGTAAGATCAAATCATAAATTGAATAACAAAGAATTGTATATTATTTTGATGTATTTTTCATAAATTCCAAA